CATCCTTAGACTAATGGATAGAATTTCTGAAGGTACACTTAGCACTTGGGTAATAGCTTCATCACAACAATGTACTTTGGGTTATTTTCCCCAATTCTAATCTTGCATGGCTAATCTTGCACCTCTGATTTTGCATGGTTTTGTCTAACTTTTTCTCATTCTGCTTCTTTGTGTCCAAGATATGATTTAGAAAGATAACTGGCTACAGAGAAGACCTAAACTATTCATGCAAGAGCAAACCCACAGCCTCAGCCACAATAACCAACTGATTTAACAAGACATCAACACATATTTGCCAACATGCCGGGGTCCAGCCTCAGTGGGCCAGGGGTTCCCAAAGGTGTGGACGGAGTCGACGAAGAATGTTTTACACGAAGACAGCGTTCAGAACTCTATAGCTCTCTTTAGTCTCTGTGGATCTTCCTGTGCCTGGCTGAGGCCACAGAGAAAGCTTCTGAGGCAAGCTGAGCCTTTATTTTATAGTCAGAGGTAAACAAGATAGTGGTTTCCATAGTTACACTGTTCTTGTGAGTTTCACTTGTTTTTGTTCTTGTTCTTGCTGAACTTCCCTCAGCCCATTAGCTTCCCAGATAAGATCTAGGGAGCGTCATAAGGTCAAGCCTAATTATGCTTAAGAGGACTGTTCCCTCTAAGCTGGGACTTGTTTGTGACTTTGCCAACAGGTCAGTCTGAGGTTTAAGGGCTCCCCACATGTCACCCTTCTTTTACTTTTATCCTACTATAATGAAAGTTTAACTTAAGCATCAAGAACAAAAAGCTACCATAATGACAGTAAAACTTAAGTATCAAGAACAAAAAGCTACCATAATGAAAGAATACTTCAGCATCAAGAACAAAACTCTGGCTATTAAAATAAAAACAAAACAATGCCAATGCAAAACCCAAAGTACAGACCATAATGAAAGTAAAACTTAAACATCAAGCTCTGGCTATTAACAAAACAATGCTAATGTGTTAATATTTTTAAAACTAGTAAGAATAACAAAAAATGCTAATGCAAAACCCAAAACATTTTAAAACTTAAGCATAACATTTTTAAAACTAGTAAGAATAATAAAACAATGCCAATGCAAATAAATGAGTTTCTGCCAAATGAAAGTTTGTTTTGCTGATTTACTCAGAGTCCTCAGACTTGGCCGCACAAGACCTTGCGGAAGACTGGCAGCTAACCAATGCTAGCATAGCCAGAAACATGTTTGAGGGAGTAGCTTCCACTTATTGCTTTTATACCATCTGCTGGGCCTCAGTTGTTAGCTTCTTCAGCTGACTCCATGTTGGCACCTCGGTCCCTTGCGTAGCCTTCGTCATCTTCCTTTTCCGCGTTACTGTCATTGGGGCAACTCTAAGTCTTTGAAATGATGGGACAAGGAGCTTCTCTGGGTCCATTGTGGTGTCGCTCGTAATGCTCTGGTACCCAAATTGGCTGCACTGCTCCTTCTGGAAAGATACAAAACACAACCTCTTCCCCACATCATTACTAGATCTGGTAAAACTCTTGGCTGATTTGCATCCTTCCACTGGGCTAAGTCGGCGGAGGCTATGCTATTGTACAGGAGGCCCAATGCCTTTTGGCTGTTGTACAACCCTCTGCATTGTATTTTTTTTAATTAACATAAAATTCTTCTCCCCCTTTTTTGTTTTTATAGAAAAGGTTTATATTTATGGAATTTTCAGTTTTTCTTTTTGTGTCAAGAGCTCAGTTTGATATGTTAAAACTAAGTAAAATGCATTTACTCAATCCAAAGCAGGCATTAAAAAGAAAACCCCCAAAAGCTCTCTTGTATCCATTTAAAGAGTAGGATTGGCGCTTTCCACTATTACCTGAGTCCTGATCTATCACCCCAGGGAAAGCTTGCCAATCCTGCACTTTTCCGGGGTGGAAAGACTGCAGTGGGGTTAAGGATAAGGCTCCTTGGGCCTACCTTCTCCCATGCCTCTACATTTACCTTTCCGGCACCTTTCCTTCCTCAGAAAAGCATGGACATACTTCTTATATAAAACATTCCATCTCACTGGGAGTAACCTTAACTCCTCTGCTAGCAAGCGTATGTGTTTAAAGATCAATACAGAGTCTTTTTCCTTTAGACTCAGCATGGTACATCTTCTCAATCTAAGTTTTGTACTATGCACCTTCTTACCCTACTTATCATCTATAGGGGGATCTGCAGTACCCTGGTGGAGTCCTATCCATCCCGAGTGTGGGGGTTCTTACCTAGGGGAATCCTGTTAGGCTTGTCTGGGCGCCATATGCCGGGGTCTTGACCCAGCGGTCCAGGGGTTCCCAAAGGTGTGGACGGAGTTGACGAAGAATGTTTTATACGAAGACAGCATTCAGAACTCTCTAGCTCTCTTTAGTCTCCGTGGATCTTCCTGAGCCTGGCTGAGGCCACAGAGAAAGACCCCGAGGCAAGCTGAGCCTTTATTTTATAGTCAGAGGTAAACAAGGTAGTGGTTTCCATAGTTACACTGTTCTTGTGAGTTTCACTTGTTTTTGTTCTTGTGAGTTTCACTTGTTTTTGTTCTTGTTCTTGCTGCACTTCCCTCAGCCCATTAGCT